AAAATTGCTATTTTCTCATAAATAATTTTATCAAAAATAGTACTATAGCACTATAACCCAAAAATTGATGAAGTAATCCTCTAAAAAAGTTTATTACAATTCACTTATGAAATTTTTCATGTTCATGAAATTTGAATTTTTACAATTTTTTTTTAATTTTATTATTTTGAATTTTAATATATATAATCAACTAAATTTTTTTTATAAAAATATTTTTTAAATCTACTTTATAAATTTTTTACTTTATAAATATTTTTGTTTATTATTATATATTATATATTCTTGATTCTATATGTACCATTGAATCTCTAAAAATTCTGTTTGAAAATTAAATAGAAGAAATATAACAAAATAGAAGAATATTAAAATAACATTATTTTAATAAACCATTGATATTATTTAATCACATTGCAAAACCATAATCTCTATATTCGTATAAATTATTAAAATATCCTTTTACTAATTTATTGTTTACTTAGAAGATATATAAATAAAGATATAAGTTCCTAGAAACTTTGAAGTATCTTGTATCAAAATCAAACGCAATCATTTCCATAGTTCACACTTATTGATGATGTTCTATATTCCCAGACCTACTCTATAATTTGATGTTGAAGAAATTTATTTATAATTTCTGGCAAGTATATCATAGGGACTATCCTAATGTTAGACGACATTACACAACGATTCGCGAAATTCTGAATGTACTCGATTATCGAACTGATATTCGACTTCAGATCAGATGAAAGAAAGCCAACCGGATATTTGTGAGAACTAACTTATAATATTTATGTGACAAATTCTGGTTTTTCTTATAAAATTACTGTCAAAAATATTTAAGCAATAATATTTCAATTTTTATATAAAATCAAATTTTGATTAAAATTTCATGAATATATTTTTTAATTGTAATATTAATATTAGCAATAACAATTTATGATATTTTTACAATAGCTATTATAGAAATGAATTTTGTATTGTATATAAGTATTATATATTGTATATTGTATATAAGTATATTATATATATATAGTATTGTATATTGTATATAAGTATAATAAATATTTAGACTAATATAATTGGCAAAAAAAATTGACGAAAAATCATATTTTGAATTAGGATATAAAATATAAATTTATATTATCAAATTATAATAATTTTTTCATATATAATTATTTTTATATATTAAAATAAATAATAAATTGTCTCAAAA